AGGGTGTGTGTGTGTGTGTGTGTGTGTGTGTGTGTGTCAGGATTCGGGGGGGGGATGGGGCCAGGACAGTGGGAGGGAGAAGGGGGACCTGGGCTGGCAGGATGGGGAGGGAGGGAGAAGGGGCCCAGCTCTTCCCTGTGACTGGGGGGTGAGCCGGGGCAAGCAAGGGGCACAGCCCCTTTGTACTACTTCAAAAAGCGAAAACTGCCACCTCTCAGCCTATTTACCATCCCTGTGCTCCAGCTGGGCCTGGAGAGCTGAGGGATCGATTGATGGACAGTGCCATCTAGTGGGTGGCTATTAAATGCTGTGTCACCAAACCGAAGGGATATCAAATCACCGGCACATCAGCGAATACGTTGGCTATATAGTCCCATTAGAGACTATATCCCTCAGGGCTCAACGGTGAACTCCCACAGCCCCACCCTTCCCAGGGGAAGTCACTAACCATGATCGTTCGCTATACAGGTTGAATCTCTCTAGTCTAGCCCTCCCAGGTCCTGACTGGTTCTCTTAAAAGACATTTAGGGGTAAATTAAGCTAAATAACAGCACAGAACCCTGTGAGCCAGGACTGGTGGCTGTAAACAAACTATGGCACCACAGGAAACTTGGCCACACCCAAGTGGACACACAGCTAACTAAAATCATGCCGCACCCGGATGTTGTCGGAACAGAGAGGTTCAACCTGTATTATCAATTCTCAAGCAGTTACTAAGCTGGGGTATGTCTACACTACCCTCCTAGTTCGAACTAGGAGGGTAGTGTAGACATACCCTAATAGATTAGTAAAACAGGATTTCCCTTTACAGAAAATATGTTGACTTTTGTCCAACAAATTATGTTCTTCTACATGCTTCACAATTTTATTCTTTACTATTGTTTCGACTAATTTGCCCGGTACTGAAGTTAGACTTACCGGTCTGTAATTGCCAGGATCGCCTCTAGAGCCCTTTTTAAATATTGGTGTCACGTTGGCTACCTTCCAGTCATTAGGTACGGAAGCTGATTTAAAGGATAGGTTACAAACCACAGATAATAGCTCAGCAATTTCCCATTTAAGTTCTTTTAGAACCCTTTAACCTGCATTATCACCACTTTAAGCCACTGTACTTAGACTCTGTGATGGACTTGCTTTAAAAAAAAAATATTAGAAGATCCAAGTAAATCTGTTCAGAGGCATGATGGGCAGTGGTTTCTGAACACTCTCTCTGTTTCCTGGTACTGCCCCATATGCCTGTGTCCACCAGTTCTCTCGTCTTATACTTCAGAGCTGCAAAAACCTGCATTATCACCACTTTAAGCCACTGTACTTAGACTCTGTGATGGACTTGCTTTAAAAAAAAAATATTAGAAGATCCAAGTAAATCTGTTCAGAGGCATGATGGGCAGTGGTTTCTGAACACTCTCTCTGTTTCCTGGTACTGCCCCATATGCCTGTGTCCACCAGTTCTCTCGTCTTATACTTCAGAGCTGCAAACTCTTTAGGGTAAGCACCATTGTGTGTGTTGGTGCAGTACATGCACAATGGGTCGTAACTCGGAATCCTAACACCATACATGCAGAGACCTGCAAGCGTGGAGTAAGCAAGTATTGCTGGGTAACTCCACTCTCAAATGCTTCATTCAGTCTCACAGGAGAGGAGCAAGGATAAATTCTTTTGAGGTTTGTAATAGCATCCTTGTCCTCGAGTATATCTACACTGCATGCTTTAGAAATAAGCTGTTCCAGAATAGCTTATTTAGAAATAGCACATCTACACTGCAGGAAAAGCCTCAAAATTAGTCCGAAGCAGGCTCCCCTAATGTACATATACAATCTCGATTTAAAGTCCCAGGAGGCACTGGGGAGGAATAACTTAGCCCCTCCCATTCTATTTCAAAATAGCAGCAGTAAAGCATCTACACGTCTTATTTCGAAATAGCTATTTTGGAACCGGCATTATTCCTCGTAAAACGAGGTTTATAGATTTCAGAATAAGCCGTCCATTATTTTGAAATAACAGAATGGCTGTGTAGATGCTCTCATTGGTATGTCGAAATAATGTTAGTTATCTTGAAATAATGATGTAGTGTAGACATGCTCCTAGAGACCGGGGCACAGGGAAATTGAATCACTCTCTCAATGTCAGATAGGAAGTCTGTAGGCAAAGCAACCTTGATTGCATTCCTTGCAAGCCAAGGCAACATAGAGAAGTCCTCTTAAGTGCTAGCTGTGGTAATGATTGGCTACCCAGATCTCAGGACTCTGAGTCTTGGGTTTTGACTACTAGTCAAGCCTCACCCTCTGTACTTTTCTATGAGGTAGGTGCCTCTGCTAATAGGAAC